CAAGCTACTGATTGAAGGTGGCACCACCCCTCCCATTCATGGTGAGAAGGATTCCCCATCAGAACACTTACTTTACCTTTAAAAGATTAGAGCATATGCACCATGCTTCTGTGCGTGTGTGCACAAAATCAAAGTGGGCCTCATAGGTCTGTTTGTGGAATAGAACCTCTCTGGAGGGACGAAAGAGAGGAGAGAGAGAGAGAGAGAGAGAGAGAGAGAGAGAGAGAGAGGAAGAGGGAGAGAGACTGGTGACAGCTGCCTGTGAGCAAGGGGACAGGAGGCCTGAGGACCAGGGTAAGCAGAGATGCCTCCTCCCTAGTGCTTTGTTCTACCCCAAGGTGCCCAGCTCTTGTTAGGGGCCCATTAAAATATTGTAATACATTTACATACGGGATCAGTATCTACCAGGGATTGGTTCAAGGACCCCCAAGGATACCAAAATCTGGGAATGCTCAAGTCCCTTACATAAAATGGAGTATTTGCATACATTGTACACACATTGTCCTGTATATTTTAAAAACATCTCGAGATCACTTACAATACATAATATGATGTAAATGCTACGTAAATAGTTGTTCTACTAAATTGTTTAGGGAATAATGACAAGGAAAAAAGGTCTGTACATGTTCAGTACAGACATAGTACAGGTCAGTAACAACTTAACTATCTTTTTTCAAATATTTTTTATCTGCGATTGGTTGAATCTCAGGATATAGAACTTGCAGATACTGAAGGCCACTATAGCAATGAATGAATGAACTCTTGAAAGGTACTTGTCCAAAAGAACAAATAAAATGGAGGCACTGGGTATTTTCTTTCATTCCAGGCCAACCTCTCAGAGCTCATCCTGCCATCCACCCAGTGCCAGCCCCACAGGGGAGGAAGAAGAGAGAATCTATGCTGACCAGACAGATTTCTATAATTTCTATAAAACTGGGGGAGGGTCTCTCTATCCTGGCTCTCTTGTCAATGCTTTGGCAACAATCCAAGAGAAAATTATCATAAAGAAGACCAGAGCTTCGGTAAGCAGATGTGTTAGTGGCTGAACAGTAGCAGAAAGGACAAGCCTGGCTTGGTCTGGATGGAAGCCAAAGGCAGGGAGCCTGGAGGTCTCAATGTGGAAACAGACCCTGACTTTTTACTAACCTTTCTCTGGGAGAACCAAGGCCATTTCCAATGGACCTGCCAAAGGATGCAAGTTTCAGTAGATCAGCGTTTCAGATAGGTGTACCTCAAAGTGCTTGGCAAACCCAAATGAATTATGCACTCCAAGAATCTTAGGAGGCAATGATGGAGGGTGCACTTTGTTTGCTGTGTGCACCTGAACTGCCACTGTCATTGAGTGACACTGGAGGGCTTTAACTTTTGTGCTTAATACCCTTCCCACTGGTATTAACCAGCTTTCATTTTTGTCAGTGGGTACTCTTCCTAGTCCAAGACCACAACACCAACAGGAGGTCTCTGCAGGTTGGCACCCATCAATCAGGCCCTCGTTTTTCTACCATTGAAGCCCTGCCTTCCTTGCTGTCTGTGCAGTCATCTGGCTCAGTTTCCATTTCCATATTTGGATGTGAATGTCACTTATCCAGTTTGCCCACATGATTTCTCAGACCCAGGAAGGGACACACCTTGGTGCAGAGAGATGCAATCGGTGCTACCACTGTGGAAAGGAAAGCCCATTCTTGGTATGGGTCACATTTTTTATGTCAGAAGCTGTGTTCATGTCATCCATTTTGGTGGGGCATTTCACTCCTTTTGACAAATGCCCATTTGCCTTGGATTCCTCGAGGATACAATTTTCTAGCCAAATGGGACTCTGGTTTATGCTTAGGATTCTAGACTTCACCTACATCTCTTAATCCAACATCTCTGCCTTCAGGCAATGTCCTTTTCTAGAGAATCAAAGAAATTCTGTGCATCCTTAAAATAAAAAGGTGAGATGTAATTATAGGTCCTGACATTTCCAGGGATCAGTCTGGAAATTACACAGAATAGCCCTGAAATAACCTCAATTCATTTGCAGTCTTCCTTTGACAAAGTTAATTTAGATGGCTTTGACCCTGATCAGGGTCCCCATTTGCCCTTTGCTCTTGAGTTTGGGATCTCTATTAGACCGTATCCAGAAACTTCCTACAGCTTGTCTAAGAGAGAGATAGGGTTCAGGGAGTTTTAGGTTCTCAACAAGGCTCTGCTTTACACAAGGACTCAAGGACCCAGGTCCCCCTTCTCCCCTTTCCTGCACATAGGCCCAAAGTGAGATTTAGGCAATGCAAGCTTAGGATCCAGCCATAAAGTAGCAGTGAGATATGAACAAGTCACAGTTGCCCTCTGGGCCTCTCAGTTTCTCATGTATGAAATGAAGGGGTTGGACAATGAGCTGCTCTTTGATCCTAGTTCAATTCAACAACTATAAAAGCACTGAGGGATTACTTAAATGAATGAGGCTTGATTCTTGCTCTCAGCAAGAATCCTTACTAGTAACTGAAATGAAAGGAAAACCTCCCGAGGCCTTCTGTGCACCAGGCATGGTGCAAGGCTCACAATCCCCAGTGTAACCTTTAGAGACCGGTGTTCTCACTTCTGATATGGTTGAGGAAAGTAACTGGCCTAGCTAGAGTAACAGGCTTGGGTAAACCCCAACTCTGCCAACCACCATTCCAAGTGTTTATTGTCCACCCAGACTGTCCCAGACACCAGCAGAATGCGGTAAGTGCTACTACAACAGAGGTGCAAACAAGGTACTCTGGGAACGTGTTGTCTTCATGTTTCCAGTGGCTTCCTTCCTAGCCAAGGACACTGCCAGCCTTGCTACTTTGGTACAAGCTGAGTCAGGCCCCACAGGGCTCCCTATCCATGTCCTATCCCTGTGACTCTCAGAATTTATTCTTTACTTTTCTTACGGGAATGTCAGCCCACTTGTAACAATAACAATAATCCTTTCCACAGGGGTACACTGCTTCATGGTTTACAAAGCACTTTCACATCCATTATCTCATTTAATCACTTCCTCCTCTTCATTCCTACATTTTCTTGGTATCTCTTTAGTGTGACATTTGGCCTTGCCTAACAGGCCTATTTTCCTTCGTTGTTTTCATCTTGGCTCTCAAGTTCTGTCCTGTAATTTAGGTATCTCAGCACCTTGCATACTTCTGTGCACAAAGTCTGTGTGTGTGTGTGTGTGTGTGTGTGTGTATGTGTATGTGTGTGTGTAGGGGGATACAAGTTTGCCATGTTGAATCCTCAGTGTTGTGGGTGTTTTTCATTGCTGCCTTTTTAACCCCTTTCGATTCAATAGATGTTTGGTTCCCTAAGAGCAAAACTGGGTTTTTTGGAAGGGGAAAATCAGGCAATGAGTTCAGACCAACTGGGGGAAGACAGAGGTCTCCAACACCTGTTAGGACATGGTACCTGCTACAACAGAAGTGCAAACACAATTGGGACTTTGAATGACTGATTAGTTTTGTCTGGGGGTGGGCGGAAAGCAAGGGTGCTTCTTGGAAGGACTCCACCCAGCAGAGAAGGAAACTGGGACTGAAGAGCTAGACAAGGGAAAGAATCAGGATGGGTCACAGATTTGACCTTGGGAAAGGGTAGACAGCGGCACCGAAAAATTTTCCTCAAAAAAAAAAAGGGGAAAGAGGGCCAAATGAGTTGCTTTTCCAAAAAGGAAGTATAACTCCCCACAATTTTCGAGGAAAGAGGAGTCAAATGGCTGCAATTCTTAGGAAAAAAGGATCCCTTCCTGCAACACTCAGACACTGCTTAGTAAAAGCACAGGAACACACACTCCCTGGCATTTCTTTAGTAAAAGGAGTGAGGGGGCATCGATGTGCAATTCCTCTTTGGAGAGAGGAGGGGAACTTGAAGTCCCAGATTTCTCGTTTGGTCGGGGGAGGGGCACACAAGATAAGTATTTCCCAAGTTCTCTTCAGATATGAAGGCCAGGGTACAAACCCCCATTGCTCCTCACATAAGGGAGGAAGAGAGCCAGTGGCCCCCAGTAGTGCTCAGAAGACGCAGAGTATGCTCCCCAAATACTCCTCGGGAAAGGCAATGAACTTGGGGCCCTGAATTCCCCAAATTCTCCTTAGTAATGGGGGCAGGAGCCCGAAACTCCATAAGTTTTCTTAGAAAAGAGAGCCGGGGTTCCAAATCTACAAAATGCAGCCTTACCCTGGCAATTCTCCTGAGAAAAGCGGGCAGGGGTAGAACCTCCAAAACTCTCTCCAGAAGAGGAGCCAGGGGCAAGATTCCTGAAAAGTCTCCTCAGAACTGGTGCCAGGAAAAGAATCCTGAAGATTCCCCTCAGAAGAGGGTCGAACCCACAACTCTAGCCAGAAAAAAAGCACAGGAGCAATGAATTCCCTCGGGAACAAGGCTGGGCTAAGGCTCGCCCAGTCTCCTCGGAGCGCGCCTCACGCGGTACCGCCCACCGCCCAGCGTGCCCGCTCCACGCCCGCTTGGCCAAGGCCGCCTCCGGTGCATTGTGGGTGGGGCGCCCCTGCTGAGCACTGCGGGGAACCCCCTGCCCAGACAGTTGTCGGCCGCGGGGCAGCCCAGTCGAACAGCCCCCTGGGGTCCAAGCTAGCCGGCCACAGATTGACGCGTCCCCCAGGCCCCTCCTTCGTGGCGTTCCCGCCCCGAAGCCGAAGCCCCACCTCCACAGGGTCATGATTGGCTCTGAGGTTCGCTCCACTCTACCATTGGCAGATAGCCTGTCAGTCACTCTTTTCCACCTCCTCAGGCCAGCCCAGGCCTCCGGCGCGATCCCGAGGGCGAGCCGGCCAGCGCTCTCATTGGCCGTTGGACACTGTCCATCGTGAGACTGGCCACACCCTCCGTGGGGCGCGGATCCCAGGAGCCCCGGCCGGACCTCATTGGCCTGCGGTGCCGCCACTCGGCGAGACGCGCCTCAACCCGGAAGTGTGTGAACCGAAATCTGCCTAGCAACCGGGGAAGCCGGGCTGCGAAGCGGGCAATTTCAGTGTGAGACAGAGCGGCGAGACCGAGCTGCGGCTCCTAGCGCGGCGCGGCGTGGCGGCTCCTCCCGCCCGGGGTCAGCGCCCCGGCGCGCGCACGCGCACCCCTGCCGCCCGAACGCGCCTCGCGCCGCCCGCGCAGTCGGTCGGTCGACCGTCCGTCGTCCTGTCGCCGCTGCCACTGCGGGCGCCACCTGAGGGAGCCGCCGCCGCGGGACCCGAGAAGACCGGACCCGACCCTACCTCCCAAGGCTGCCCGGGGCCCAGCAGCCACCCGCGGAGGCGCCTAGCAACTTCGGTGAGTGAGGGGCCGGCGCCGCTGGTGGCGGGTCCCCGGCTTCCGGTGCCCCGGGCTTCTCTAAGGCTTCCGCTTCTGCGAGGGAACCGCCTCCAGTGCGTGGACCCCCTTGTTTGCGAAGACTCGCTTCTCTGAGGGAATCCTCCGCCTCTCTCAGAGATTCCCCGTTCATTGAGGGACCTCACCTGTGAAAGACCCCACTTTTCTGAGGGCCTCGTCTCTCTAAGCAGACCCGCACTTTTTTGAGGGGAGTCCCCTTCTGTGACGGACCCTCCACTTTCCTGAGGGACCTCACCTGTCTGAGGGCCACCCCTCACCTTTTTGGGACCCCTTGTTTTCCTAAGGATCCCCTGCCTCCCTGATGGACCCCAGGAGACACTCTTGCTTCTAGGACACCCTCCCCTCACTTCTCTGGGGTCCCCCACCTCTCTGAGGAGACCGACCTACCCCGCCTTTTCAGGGATTGCCTCCCACCTTCTCTGAGGAGATCCCAGCTTCTCTGAGCTGTTGTCCCACTTTTTTGGTAAGTCCCCATTTTCCCCTTGCCTTTCTAAGGTGTCTCCCTCTTTTCATATGTCCCTTTTCCCCTTACCTTTTTGAGATGTTCTCCCTGCTTTTCTGTCCCCACTTATTTGGATGAACTCTTATTTTTCCCAAGTGTCCCTCAATTAATCTGAGGTGTTCCTGCTTATGTCACAAGTCTTCTTGGAGGTGTTTTCCACTTTTCTGAGCTCTCCCCACGTTTGATCGGACCCCCTACTTTTTGATGAGTGCCTCCATTTTCCTGAGAGAGCCCTCACTATTTTGAAGTGCCCATACATCTGACTGGATCCTTAGTTTTCTGAGGGAAAGTTGTCCATTTTTCCAAAATATTTTCCATTTCTTTTAGGTTCCCTACTAATCTATGGGTGCTGCAATGTTTGGAGGGGTCCCTGGCTTCTCCAGAGGTTCTCCCCCTAACATGAGATGTCCCACTCCTATGGGTTCTTAACATCTCTGAAGTGCGCCTCTACTTTTCCAAGATATCCCCCCTCCTGATAGGAGATATGGTGGATTTCTTCACTTCTCTGAGGGGTACCCTTGCATTCAGAGGGGTTCCTCTTCCACCTTACCTGAGGTTTCCCTCCTGATTCTCTGAGAAACTTTCCCCTTATTTCTGTTTGGAACGTCAGGGTTCCCTTATTTCTGTTTGTGGGACCCACTTCCCTCCATCTTGGGAGGAGAGACCAGAAATGTGTTGCCCCTTCAGTCTTCTTTCTTGCCAGACTGGGAGTTTTCTCTGAACTTTTACCTCAGCTTACAAAACCTGGAGGATTTTGTGGCTGGAAGGGAAATGGGGAGACCGAGAGGCAAATAACAAAAAACCAAAACCCACTCTTTACTCTTGTCCTAATTTAATACCTGCCAGATTTGGGGAAGCAGGAGCTGTTGCCAGATGACCACCTTGGTTACTCCATTTTTGAGTCATGGGGCCACCACTGTGTTGTCAGACCAGTACAGAGTTAGGAGGGACAGGGCTGGAACATTGTCTGCCCATTATCACACTGTCAAGCTGTGGGACTGATCTACTTCCTGTCCCTTGCATTGTCCTCCCTCCGCACAGTGTAACTCATCTCCTCCCCCAAAAAGGGGGGAGGGGGGAATGAAAAAAAACGCTCCTTCAGGTTTTTCTGTTGCCTTTTCTCTCCCCAGGCCTTTTGATATACCCCCCAATCTCTAGAAGCTCCTCAGTTTGTGGGCCACTCTGGTTTGAAAGGCAGGGCAAGAAGCAGGAAATGGGTCACCTTAGATCCAGGAAGGGTGGACAAGGAGGCAAGGGACGGGGTTTGACTTAATTTCTCTAAGTTTTAGGTGACTTCAGCCTGGCCCAAAGGAAATTTTTACGTGGATTTTATAAATCTCGTGTACTTTTTTTAATGGCCCACCCTGGATTCCAAGTTCATTCCGGTAGCTAATTTTATCTGCTTTGCGGAACGCAGAGCTCTCTGGAGCCCAAGTAGATGAATGCTGGCATTGAGAGATGGTCCAAAGGACAGGAATGAACTCAGTTTGAAACCTGAGTAACTTGTAACCACTTTGTGTCCATGCACAAGTTTCAGGCTAAAAATGTGGAGAGGACGTTCCTGAAGTGGAGTTCTGAAATATAGACTGAACTCCTGTTTGGTTTAGTGTTTCAACGAGTTCTTGCCTCTGACTCTGGGAGAACTGCAGTTCACTTTACAGTTTGACTTACGGCTGTCTCTCTTCTGTTCATTTCCATCTGGGTCTTGCTTAATTTGAGTCCTTTGTGAAGACTCCTGCCGAGGCTATAATTTGAGTTCTAAATCTGTCGGTGGACCATGTGGACACAAGTTTCAACTCGAGCTATTTTCTTCTGTTGGAGAAGTGCTTGGAGAGTTTCCTGGGCCCTCTGCTCCTAGGGTAGTCAAGTCCAGGCAAGAAGCTGCTGCAGACCTGGTTGCTCTTCTACTGCCTCTTCCTGGTCAGCTGTAGGCACTGCCCTGAAGGGCAGGGGAAAGATGATGGGAAGCTCAGGGCTTAGGGTGTCCTGAGACAGGGCAGAGAAGTGCTGGCACATATATTTATTATATTAAATGAAACCCACAGAACCAGCAAGGTAAGGTGTTAGAAAGGGAGGGGAAAGCTTTGAAGTCAGAAGCACCTGATTCAGATTCTGGGTCTGTCCTCCCTAGTTGTGTGGCCTTGGACAAGTTATGGCACAAAATTGGCATGTTACTAAATATTTGAGGGGTAACATCTCTGTAAATGTGTGTGAAGACACTTACGGATGGGAAGTGCTTCCTAGACGTATATGAATGAATGAATCTGAGAGAATGAACAGGAGGCGGCCAGCACATGGTTGGTGTGCAGTAAAGGTTGATTGTTGTGCTCAGGAGATTAGGGTTCTGGCCTGCACGCTCAGACCAAGAAGCACTTGACATTCTGCCAAGGCTAAATTAAATATGCCTGAAGAGAAAGAAACTTGGTATGTCTCTTGCAAAGCCCACTGCCCTCCTGGGTCTTGTAGCATTTTTGTGTTCAGATAGCAGATGTGAGATGGATTTGCTGTGTAGCAGGCATTTGTATTTGCTTTGGCCTTGCCTTTTCCCTCTGTAAAATGGGATAATTTGTGAGTTAAGGGCAAGTAGGGAGATCTATTACTATAATTAGACCGTAGGCAAGATAGAGGATTATAATGAATTTGAAGAATTGTGGGAAGAAAATAGTAGGAGAACCATAAACGTAAAGGATCACATCCATACTTTGGGACTGCATGAGTGAGTGATAGGCAGCAGTTAACTGGTGAGTGATCTCTTAAGCATTAGAACCTTGAAAGAAGAACTGTTCTTCTAGGGTAATGGATCAGATTTGGGGACAAAAGGCTGGGAAAATGATGTACAAAGGCATTTGATGCCACACAATAATAGTACTTTGAGAGGGCCAGTGTGTGGCTTAGTGCCCATGAGGAGATCAGAATTCACCTTGAGCTCTTAGGATAGAGCTGCGGAGATGCTAACTCTGCATCTGGGGGTGGGCAGGACAGTTTTTTTTTTTTCTTAAGAGGATTCTTGCTTAGCAATTAGTGAGAGCCCTAAAATCATGGGGGTGAGTTGGGCCCAGTCCTTTTCACTTACTAGTGTGGGGACAGATGGCGCTTGCCCTGATAGCTAAAACCCAGGGGGAAATAATGGGTGAAAATCCGAGCTAGGCCCTCATTGGGCTGCTTCCAAGTTTGAAGGGTTACCCCCCTTGAAATATTCCCACTCCCTCCCTTCATGTTTCTGTGTCAAAGTCTCTCTGTCTCTCTCTCTGTCTCTCTTTCTGTCTCTCTCTGTCTCTCTCTCTCTGTCTCTCTCTCTCTCTCTCTCTCTCTCTCTCTCACACACACACACACACACACACACACACACACACACACACACACACACACTGACTTTTGAGGCCAAGAAATATCCACTAATCTTAAATTTCTCTTAATTCTTTTAGGGACAGTTACTCCGTTATATGAGGAAGGAGCAAAGTTTATTATTTTTAATATATAAAAAATAAGGTAAACAACTTTAAAGGGTTACTATCCCTTTTGAAATTATGCTGTCTCTCTTGTGTTCCACAGACTTCACTCTGGTGGATGGTGGCGCCACTACCAAGTCTCTTTTATCTAATAGGAAGTTTTTTAAACTTTTTTTTTTTAATTGAAAGATCCTTACAGCAGTAAAAACCATTGGATAGTTAGAAATGATATTGATCTAAGTACATTTATTAGATGTAATGTAACATGGTTATCCGTTGGTGGGCAGCTCTAAAAGGCATGTGGTCTTAACACTGCCCAACTTCTAACTCTGGACTGTAAACTGTTGATTTATATAACTGAAATAGCTAGGGAAGTCAGGGTTTCCTTCCTGTTGGAGACAACACGGGGGGCATTAAATCCCTGTGGGATCTTGATGATAAGAAAGAAACTGACCTCTTTTGGAATTGGGAAATAACTACTGTATGGAGTTGTTCCATCCAAATGAATGAATGGTGTTATTTTTAATTTGTTGTATGAAGTTTGGCTTTATCCTCTCTACAGCCTGGCTGCCTTTGTTTATACTGGAGTGTCATTTTTATACGAATTTATCCCTCCAAACTGGCCTATAAGGGACATTCAAACTCTCAAGTAAGGGCTTTACTTACCTCAGGTTTTCCTAATGTGGCCATAAGGTGTGTGTATTTTTGTTTTGTTTTGTTTTTGTGCAACTTAAATTGGATTGAAAAATATAAAGAGTTAAATCTTCGGGCTTATTTACTTTATATGCCAGCAAATAATTCAGCAATGTTTGTGTGCCTACCATGCACCAGGTGTACCATCCTGGGTGCTGGGGGCCTAGCAGTGAGCAGGACAGATGCAGTAGGCCCTCAATGAGCTTACATCCCAGACGCAGACAAGTAAATGAACTAATGGAAGAATATCGCAGGACTTCTTTGGGAATGTCCCTGGATGTTGGGAGCTTGGGGTG